GTCCAATAGGAGCCCAGACAGGAGGTCCGTTAGGAACCTGTTAGGAGACCCGTTAGGAGGCCCAACAGGACCCCAGACAGGAGGTCCGATAGGAAGCCAAACAGAAGGCTCGTTAAGAAGTCTATTAGGAGACCCAACAGAAGATCCGTTAGGAGTTCTGTTAGGAGGCCCGTTAGGAGGCCCAACAGGAGGCCCAACAGGAGGCCCAAAAGGATGTCTATTGGGACACCCATTAGGAGGTCCGTTAGGAGGCTCGTTAGGAAGCCCAACAAGACGCCCAACAGGAGGTCTGATAGGAGATCCAACAAGAGGCCCAGAAGGAGACCTGTTAGGAGACCTGTTAGGAGGTCCGTAAGGATACTCGTTAGGAGGCCCAACAAGAGGCCCAATAGGAGGCCCAAAAGGAGACCTATTAGGAGGTCTGTTAGGAGACCCATTAGGAGGGTCCGATAGGAGGCCCTGGAGCAGTCGGGGGGCTAATGATCAGGGACTGCACCAGCATCTGGGGGGCCGGTTTTCAGGAACAGCCCTATCTATCTAACGTTGAAGAGGGCACATGCTTTCAAAAGGTCAGAGGTCATCAATGAGGACGCCTGAGTTTCTGAGAGTTGAGAATGATGGATGCTGGGGCCTGGAACAGATGATGCTAACTCACCTTTAGCCTGCATTTACAAGTCACGGCCCCAAAAGAAAGGAGTATAGCTGAAGTAATCATTAATATTCAGTACTGGTGATGTAAGCCGATGGACAGGGGCAGTGTTTCTCCATTCGGTTTCGGTACCTTGGACTGGTTGTTCTTCAGCCGGTGGGCCTCGTCCACCACCAGACACGCCCAGTCGATGGACTTCAGCGCCGTCTGGTCGATGGTCACCAGCTCGTAGGAGGTCAGCAGGACGTGGAACTTAATAGGAGCCTCTCTCTGCAGAAAAGGGGGGGAAAAAGTCTGATCTTACTCCGTTTGATCCTGTTCTGTTTCCTCCAGTTAAACCCTCCTCACCCTCAGTTTAGTCTTTTTTAAATAGTTTATCTTATTTATTTAATCTATTTATTTAATTCAGTTTTGTATTTATTTATTCTTTATTTACATTTTTATTCAATTTTTGTTATTTTTTTATTTTTGTTATAACTCAAAGCGATGAAATATATCAAATATATCAAATATATACATATATATATATATATGCTCAAATGCTGTATTTAAAAAAAAAATATGAACAAGTTTTATACAAATTAAGAATAATTGTGGCGATTAAGAAGATTAACAAAATATCCCAAGAGGGTGGAAAAAACTAGATAGATAGATAGATAGATAGATAGATAGATAGATAGATAGATAG